AGCCATCTGGGCAAGAAGTGTCGAGCCAAGCCCACTCCCCTTCCCTTCTGTTGATCCATGCAAGTATAGGAATCAGATAGCAAGTGCCCAGTTCCAAGGGAGCTGCTTTTGACTGGGAGCTTTCTCTGAAGAGAATCTGTGGGCTTGTGGGAACCAGGTAACAGTGCCAGGCTCCCAGTATGCGGGAGGAAATGCACCCTGCTTCAGCTTTCATTGCAGATGGCTTAGTAGTGAATGCTAGCTGGGCATTTTCAGGAGGAGAGGACCTAGGAAATTGTTGGGGATGGACAAGAATGCTGAGTTTGGCATGAGGTGGAGGACAGTAAGAAGGACTGGAACTGACCGTACATTTTCTTGCAGATGATCCAGAGACCAATACAGCTGAGCGCTCATGGGGAGTGGGGACGGAGGATCCATGAAAAAGTGGGAGCCAGGCGAGAATGGCTTCCTAGAGCCTCAGTGGAATGAAGTCGTCTTGGAAACGACTTTCCTTACATAGGATCCATACATGGGTGGGAGCCAGAGAAGTGCCCAACTTTCAAGGGGCTAGAGGAGATGAATGGCTAAAAGGCTAGAGATTTAACTGTGCAGGATCCAGAAACTGGAGGGAACCAAGTGATTAAAAAAACAAACAAACAGATCCATGGGGACAAAGGAAATGGCTTCAGCAGCAGGTATGCTGGCACATGTGTGAAATGAGAATTATCAGCAAAACTAGTCTATCTTTGTCTAGCACTAACTGCTGCTTTATAGACAACACTGGTGGATTCGTTTTTTTCCCCCTGGTCCAAGCACAAGTGTTACTTTTGAGGAGGTTGGACCCCACACCTGAGAAGTTGTGTATTTTGTGAGGTATTTAGGATACCCCTGGTTTTGCTTGTTTATTTGGAAAACAAGCAAAACCAGGGGTATTTGTTCATTTCTAAACCAATCTGAAGCAAAGCTTGGAAGCCCAAAGCCACACTCCAAAGAACTGAGTTTTGATTTATTGCTTCAGAAGTGAAAAATCCAGAGCAGCAGCTTTCTTTTTAGAGGCTCTGGGGATGGCTGACAACTGGGCAACAATGCCCAAATAATGCAGAATAGCTTCATGGAAGGGCAGAAGCTGGGCAAAGAATAAATTGTATAGTTCTTTGGAAGAGATGTAGGGAAAGAAAAAAAGGGGGAATAAATAAATAAACAATAGCAACAACAGTGAGATTAAAAATAAAGAACAACCCAGATTATGGCACTGAGTGTAGAACACAACTTTGTTAGTATCACAGAGTCAAATTAGATGAGACATTCAATACATTGTTTAGGAAAAAAAGTCTGTTATCCATTTCCTTCAATGCCAAACAGTTTGACCATCAGTTTTCATTTTAAAAGAAAGACCAAGTTTCTAATCCTGAGGCTGGCAAGGATCTGTCAACAACTGCTCAAATCAGCCAGTAACTGCTCAGATCTCAGGTTAAAGAAGTACCTTAACCAAATCTCTAGTGATTAAGAATAAGGCTTCCAGACCCTTTATTGCTTCACACAAATCAGAAAAAAAATGCAAAATGGGTAGGCACTGCAGTTTGTTATGTGGCACAAGAGAAAACTTACAAATCTGTTCAATGAGCAAAATTGGCAGCATGGTTGTGATACCAGCAGGAAAGGGGGGGGCAGTTCTGCTTGGCTTTGAAGCCTTCTTTCTCTGTATTTGGGAAGCAAAGATGATGACAGCCATAGTATTCTTCACTCTATTATTTCCTATTATATGTTCCTGAAGACTAGGAGTTGCTAATTAATTATAACCCTGTGGGAAACTGCCATTTTTGTGTGTGCGCAGCACTGAATCATAATTTAAACCTTGCAATTTTGAAACTATAATAACAGCAGCTGGAAAATTTGAGGTAAAATATACCAATTGCTAATATGGCTAAATATTTCTCCCTTCTTAACTGAAACTGAGATGAATGTATAAAAACATACATAGGCAGCTTTTGAGTGGTAATGATGAAAATGGGCGTAACATTTCTGGATTCCTCTTGGGAATCGTTTGGGGAATGCAGAGTTGCCTTTTGAAAGGCAGAGAGAGTGCTATGGGTTGGTCCTGAGTGGCAAGCTTGGGAAAAATTATTTTTGGACTACAGTCCCCAGAATCCCCAGAATCCTGGCAAAAGACTTTCAGCTGAATTTTGCTTAGCAAGTTTTCATAGCAGTTTGATCAAGTTAGTTTTCATATCACTCCAAGAAATACACCATTACTGCTTTTTCGTCTGCAACAACAACAGAGAATGATGTGTGGCCTATTTAAGAATGTATTTTGAAGAATTGCACTTTTCTTGAATTCTGCTAGCTCATTATACTCAGGTCATTCCAACTCACATCTTTGCCCATGTCTGACCATGCTTTTCTATTTTCTGTTCTAAAATATTTAAAATATTTAAAAGTGAATGTGAATACATTAAATGTAGTTTCTTTCCTTATAGCAGTGGGCTGAACTGCACATCACGGGTGGGCTTACTCCAGAGGTGGGGGGGGTTGTCAAACACACACCCTTAGACCTTGAACGGTCAGACCCACTTCCATGACCTCCACCCCCAGTTTTTCCCTCCTACACAAAGATGTGCGCTCCTTAGAGGCCAACTAATTTTTCTAAATGAACTTTTTGTCAACTTGGAATTTCTTGGGGTGGCAGACTAGAATGCTGATATATATCCCCCACATCCACTAGAGGGCACAAGGGGACTTTCTGGACAAAAAAGTGTTTAAAAATAAAAACTTTGCAGGGTGCAAGCGTGCACCACAGATGCTTGATGGGCTATTTTATGAGTTCGGGGTGTGTGTGTTTGCTTGTTGCCTTCTGTTGCTATGCTACCCACCCCTGCTATACATGAAGGGAAATGCAGTTTCATATGTAACTAGCACTACTGTACGTGATTGAACAACATGATTTCACAGAGATAAGTACCAGGTTGATCAGAGTGGCACATAAAGCCAGTGTTTACTTTCTACAAGTCATAAAATGGAGCTGGTTAGAGTGTAAACAGGAGCATAATGAAAGCACATCCTTTGATCACCAGACAATGACTCTTTACCACTACAGGAAATACATATTTAATTATGTGTTAACCTGTACCCTCTAGCTTGAGCCAAAGGAAAGCTCGTCGGGGTTCGTTTTGCGAAGATCGGTAAGCGAAACGCTTACCGGTCTTCGCAAAGCGAATTTTTCCCCATTAAAAAAACGTTGAGCGATCGCATTAGCGATCCGAAAAAACGGATCGCTATGCAATTTCATCGTTATACGGTGCGCTCGTTAAGCGAGGCACCACTGTACCTTCCTGGCAATATCCTCACTCAAGGGATCTTAATTTAATTGCAAAGTAAACCCGCATAATGGGATGCAGGAGGCACTGTGGGTTAGACTGCTGAGCCACTGAGCTGTCAATCAAAAAGTTGGCAGTTTGAATCCAAGTGAAAGGGTGAGTTCCCATTGTTTGTCCCAGCTTCTGCCAACCTAGCAGTTTGAAAGCATGCAAATGTGAATAGATGAATAGGTACCATTCCGGTGGGAAGGTAATGGCATTCTATGTCTAGTCAAGCCAGCCATATGACCATGGAAAGTGTCTATGGACAAACACTGCCTCTTACAAATAGGGATGAGCACCAGCCCCGAAAGCCAAACACGACTGGACCGAATTGTCAAAGGGAACCTTTACCTTTACCTAAACCTTGCCAACAAAGGTCCATATAGTAAAAGCTATGGTTTTTCCAGTAGTAATGTATGGAAGTGAGATCTGGACCATAAAGAAGGCTGACCACCAAAGAACTGATGCTTTTGAATTGTGGTGCTGGAGGAGACTCTTGAAAGTCCCCTGGACTGCAAGGAGATCAAACCTATCCATTCTGAAGGAAATCAACCCTGAGTGTTCACTGGAAGGACAAATCCTGAAGCTGAGGCTCCAATACTTTGGCCATCTCATGAGAAGCAAAGACTCCCTGGAAAAGACTCTGCTGTTGGGAAAGTGTGAAGGCAAGAGGAGAAGGGGACAAGAGAGGACGAGATGGTAGGACAGTGCCATCGAAGCTACCAACATGAATTTGACCCAACTCTGGGAGGCAGTGGAAGATAGGAGGGCCTGGCGTGCTCTGGTCCATGGGGTCACGAAGAGTTGGACACAACATCTAAACAACAACAACAACAAAACCTGCATAGCCTTACACTATATGATGATCTTCATGTTCATGGCATTCCATCCTGAAATATCCTCTTCGGATTATTTTGTGGAAAGAAGCAGACACAGAGAACTTACATTCTGTTATTGTGGTGGTAGAACCCATTGGGAGAACACATACTCCCCCTTCACTGCAGATACTCAGGTCTCTATCTGTATCTGAGATACATTGATGACATATGTCTGATCTGGACCTATGGAAAGGACTCCCTAGAAAAATTCCACCAGGATTTCAATAACTTTCACACAGACATCAACCTCACTCTAGGACAACCTATGCATCAGGTAAATTTTCTAGCTATCACTGTGAAACCACAATATGGAAACCTTCTTTCAAGATGACCTTGATTGCTCATCCATAGTTGCCTAAAAAGGGGATTTGTGGTCCTAAAGTGGTGTAAACATTTTATTTTGTCTCATGCTCTGAAGCTTCAATGGATTTGTTTCCAATGACGTTTTGTGAAGAGGTATTGGAAGTAGTGGCATCAGAAAAAAGAATGAGAGTGGTGGTCCAGAAGAGTTAAAGCATATTTTTAAATGGGCAAGCTTAACAAAGATGTCAAGATCTGTGGAAGGAAAATAGTGGGACACTTTACATTTTAAAACTGTCATAACAAATATGTTTTCAGCTGGGTGAGTGCAAAATGATATCTTCTCCTCAGTCAACACACTATAAGAACAAATGGTGGAGATTTGTGTTAATACAATGCCAGGAAATAGGTAAAAATGTGCTTAGACAGTATTTGAAATAGGTGGGATAGGAAATAAATCAGCGAATATTATGACACTTATTTGCAGGTATAGGAGTGTAACCCCTGTGGAGTATTTGCTTCAAGCCATTAATTAGGTGGAGAAATCTGAGGAAGGGGCTATGATTCAAGATTTGAGTTGATAAAGAGCAGGATTGATGGCGCTGCAGGAGCTGCTGTTCCCCTGGAGGATAAGGACCTTCCCATCTTGGTTCAGGTAGTAGAATCTCAATATGTTGGTGCAGGTGGGGCACTGTACTGATCTTACGTACGTGTGTTTGCATTTTATTTTAGGACTTTAGAGACTATATTTGGAATGGTTTCCTTTATGTTGTACATCTCCCACCTTGACTGATATATTTGGGCCTTTGTTCTTATTTGGCTTCAAAGAGACATTTGCATTCTTCCTTGTTTCTTCAAGCAGGTCCTGCTCTGGTGCTGGTGAAAAGAGCTCAGGGTGTACAAATTATAGCATACAGGTTTGGTTTGTGTTTCTACCACTTTTGTTGTTGTTGTTATAGATAAATATAGAAGAGAAGCTAAAGATGTACACGTAACATATTAACAGATAAATTCAGGTGCAAAATTATAGTGCTGAGAGAAATTAGCTTCAGAGCATGTGCAGAGTGGTGGCGCTGTGGGTTAAACCGCAGAAGCCTTGGTGTGCTGCAAGGTCAGAAGACCAGCAGTCGTAAGACCGAATCCACATGACGGAGTGAGCTCCAGTCGCTTGTCCCGGCTCCTGCCAACCTAGCAGTTCGAAAGCATGTAAATACGAGTAGATAAATAGGTACCACCTCTGTGGGAAGGTAAACAGCGTTCTGTGTATAGCCGCACTGGCCACGTGACAAGGGAAACTGTCTTTGGACAAATGCTGGCTCTACGGCTTGGAAACAGGGATGAGCACCACTCCCTAGAGTCGGACACGACTAGGCTAAATGTCAAGGGGAACTTTTACCTTTACCTATGTGCAGAGTGCAAACAGAAATTACAGAAGCAAGATAATTTTGTGGATGCTACTCCTTCAGGGATGATTCTGAAATGCAATGTTCTACTTTGTTGACTCTTCTTTTTCAGTGGGACTCCATCACAAAGAGCACATATAGATGCTTCCAGGCGCTTCTCACCTTTTCTCGTACTTCCACCTTTGGCTCAGTGAAGAGGAGAGATACTTCCTAGGTCATTGAGCCTGAAAGCAGGATGGATGATCACCCATGGTTGTCTTGAACCTCCTGTCTGGCTATCAACAGCTACCATTGGACCAGTGGGCATGCGGTCAGGGGAATGCGTGCAGGATGGCTGTGATTCTGTAGCAAATCAACAAGTATTTCCCTGTCTTGGCTGGCACCCATGAAAAACCAAGAAGGGGTTTAGCCCCCACCGCCCACCAATGCACCCTTCCATATCCCTTTTCCTACATGTCAGAAGCTTTCTCTTTCTTCAGTGAACGGCCACTGGTTTCTTGGCACCTTGATGAGTGTACGGGCAGCTGTGAAGTGCATAGCCTTTGCTGGCTTAAGAGCTCTAGGTGACCTGCCCAATAGCTCTACAGATGATATACTGATACAATTATTCTTGTGAAAAATTACTTTCCTTCAAATAATGACAGGAGTCCAGTAATGGGTTGAACTCCTTGTTTGGAGATGCTTGCTCCCTTCCCCTTCTAGCCACTTCTAATTTTGAGAAAACTTAATAAGGTCCAAAGGTTTGACTCCCCACAAAGGATATCGTCTTCTTAAATATACTGATGTAGTGTTACAATAAGATCTAAGCAAGTAAAAGAGCAAAACTAACTATTGTTTTTAAGGAGATTATTCCCATTGACTCCTCTTATGTGAAGCTGCTGCTGAATGCTGTGGTGATTATATATTAGACCTACAGCTGGGCAGAACGAAGGCTGGTGGCAGGAGAGATTCAGAGTGTTTTAGCAGTAGAAGGTGAAAATACAAGAATTCAACAAGGCACATGAAGCCCAGAAGCTTTCCAACTCACTTTGTACCTGAATAAAAGGCATACAAATTGAGGCTGGCTCATCATATGTGTGTGTATATGTGTGTGTGTGTGCGTGTGCGCAGTAAATTGTGCGTGTGCGTGTGCGTGTGCATGTGCGCGGTAAATGGCTATAGCCTCTGGGGGGGTATATAAGACCATCAGTGTCAGGAACATGGTAGCTCTCAGACAATGAATCCAGAATTGTGGTGAGAATTTATTCTGGGACAAGTTAAATCACACAAATTACAGTGGTGGGTTTCTGCTTATTAATGAAGTGCTGGTTTGTGTGATATGTGTCTTCTGGGATTTGGGGTTCCACATACTCTGTAGTAATACGACTGAATTGTAATTGCATGATCACATCAAAAAGTGAAGAAGGAGGAGGAAAGAATGGTAGTGGGATGGGAAGGAAAGAGAGACGCCTATGCCCTAAGAGTGTGACCTATACAACAATCATTTCACCACAATCACATAGACACACAATTCTGATACTGTACTAATATTTAAGTAAAGTTTAGTAAATTAACCTGAAGGGAATAGATATATATTCCTGAACACAAAAGGCTATCTAAATGCAGATGCAAGAGTTTTTCTTCCCACTACAGTTCTGTGAAATGGCTGGAGAAGAAGCTACAAGGGGATGTATTATCCCATGCAAGGACCTCAATCTGATCACTCCCTAGTGCCTCAGTAGTTGGAGTGACCAGGGAGATGTTGGCCTTAGAGTTTGGCTGCCATTTGCCTCCTCCTTCCCCAGCAGCTCAGTCTAGTTTAGACTTTGATTTCTCCCTTCCTCAAGTCAAGCCACTGATTATATATTTTAAATTATCAAGTGGGATAAGAAGGGTCTCCTATGGTCTTGTGGCACTGCAGAATTGAGGAGCATCTTTTGCGCTGCCATGTAGTCACTCCATAATTCCTCAAGTACCCTTGATTCAGTTCAGTTTTGTAAATTTCCCCAAAAAAACAATGTGCTAAACACAGATTATTTCAGGTGCAACTTCTGCCCTAAAGATCCTAAAGCTTGCTTCCGGTCCCAAGGGACTGTCCTGGGCTAGTTATGGACCATCTGACACAGTACAAGGAAGCCTCATGAGTCCTTAGCAGTTATTTCCATCATTCTGAGAAATGCATAATTCAACTTGTAACATAGTGGCAGGGGACCAAACTGCCCCAGCTAGAACATGTGCTAGCATTAGATGGGACCATAGTGACAAGCACTATTCCCTCAATTTTTTCAAATTCCTATCTCAAACAATTCCACTTCCACCAACACATGCTATTTACACAGAGACATAGATGCTCCATTCACTCTCATGCACCATCCACATTCTGTTTGGTCAGACACGTTTATTCACATACCTTGTCATTCAACTACACCAACCATAAATATACACAAACACACAGAAACTGTCCAGCCTTGCCTCCTCAGCTGATCCATGTATACAGGAAGATACTTGCTTTTTCAGTAGTGATTAGTAGAATAGACTTGCATTGAATATGTCACAAGTCAGAAATAAGGCTTTCCCCACCTTCTCTGTCTGGGTATTCATGCACAAGGAATGGGGGGGGGGGAACAGCTCCATCAGGATGAACCCTTTGATAGGTGCAGTGGACAAGATGCCCAGTCCTACTTGCTAGCTGTCTGTCTGCACATACCCACAATGTAATTACTTTCACTTCCACCAAAATGTATTTTTCACTGATGATGGATGTTTTGTCCGAATAGGCAACCTCCTGATAGGGAAGAAGGTTTGAAACTAGTGATGTATAGATTTGTGTTTCCATTTGAAAAAAAAAAGCAATAACCTGTTGAATACTGAGAAACATAGGCCCAAACTTATCTTAAATGTGTAATGGGCAGGTGATCCACCATGTTTTGTTTTACTCACAAGTAACTGTATGGGACCCAGTTCCCAGTAGATGGGAACTACTGCACACTCATAGGGAAGTTTTAAACCCTCCCACTGAAATTTTCTGAAACTTGCTGTTATTCTGCAGTGACTAAAAGGAGAGGCATCAATGGATTAGGGCCTGGATTTAGTCTACAGAGTCCTTTCTGCTTACTTTTAGGTAAGAAACAAAAATAGCGTCTGCTGCTTGCTATAGAACAAATGTATTGTGGAGCTTGACCCACTGGCAGACAGAAGAGGGAATGCTGTAAATATACAGCTGTTGTGTTCTTAGGGTGCAGCTGTTGCTCTCCTTAAGAGCTTGATCTACTAGTAGCGGTGCTGTCTGTTTATAGGAGTTCCTATTCTCTGCTTGCATATTTGTCATAGATCAAATGTTACAAGGACTTTATTAGCTAAATCCAGTCTCAGAGTAGATTCCATCATTCAAAACTATTTTTCTGGTTTATAAATATGGAGTATTGCTTTTATGCCCACCATTCAATCTAGCAGAAAGTAGCCTGATATTGGATTGCAGTTTTGTGCCCATGTAGCCAGTGGGAAAGAAGATGCCAACCTTTATACAGCGAAGACCAACCGGAATGCTGAAGACATCAGTGTCTGTAGCCAAGATGGTCTGCAGCCATTCTCAACCTTTTTTGGGCCATGGCCATCAACACAATATGAAAGAGAATCAAGATTGTAAAGTTGTGTAATGAACCTTATAAGGTGGTGAGTGGAGAATTCTTTCTAACCTGTGGCCCTTTTCAAATGTGTCAGGCACCCGGGGGGGGGGCTTCTCTGTTGAGAATGGCTAGTCTACAGGATATCCCCTCTTCTGTTCGTTACAATTTACATGTAAGGGAAAATCCCAGAACCTGACTATTTTTTTCATCCGTTAACCATGTCTTACCCAAACACAAAGCATGTGTTTGAATGGTTTTGTTTAAAACATTCAAAAAATGAACACAATCACTTTCGCCAAAGCAAAAATGTGTACATTAGAAAAATAAATACCCAGATGCTCACTTTTGCAATATTTCTTTTTTTAAAAAAATGGAAAAGGTTTGTAACCAAATGAAAATGGACTGAACATGCCAGTGGGAAACTCAGAAATTTGACAAGAACGAAAGTGACAGACTTCTTTTCATATCCACAGCTGCTACAGTGAGGTATGTGCTGTGTCAAAAAAAACTAAATAAATGCTGAAAGCAGTTTTGTGATATAGTTACGATTGTCTCCTCTGATGAAGCACTTGTTGGAACTTGCCAGGCAGTTAAATTGTGTTAATGAACTCTTCAGGCACCTGTCTAGGTTCATCTCTGTATTGCCTTTTGTTTGCTAGCTACTGAACCTAGTGGCCTGTCTAGTTCACAAAAGAGAGGAAGCATAATCTTATGCAGATAACTTATGCTTATACTCAGAAGCAAATCCCACTGAGTTCAGTTAGATTTCAGAAGACTTGGCTAAATTTGGTCCCTTCCAGCATAACCATTACCAGGAGTAGATGGGAGAGATAACAAACCCAGCTACAATACTTTTGTGGAAATACCCACATATCTGTGCATAGGATAGCAGCCTTAAAGCCATATCTTCTTCATCCAAATCTAGCATATATATGGCAGCTTGCACTTCTCAAGGGTCTCAATGATAGATGGATGATGTAATCAATATAACTGCTCCTACTGCTCTGCAGCAGCTGATTGGTGTTATGATATGGCTGATAATCTACTAAGAAGTGCAATTTAGGAGAAGACCCTTTGCTAGTTTACACATGCCATTGCATGAAGATTGTGGAAGCTGTATATTGTCAATTATATGCACAGTTTTCACAATCCCGGTTTGTCCCACTAGGTATTCAAATAGGCTGAATTCTGCTGTGACACATAGGACGTGGGCAGCATTCTCAAGTTCCCAAGACCCAGGAATTATAACCAAAGACCAAGCAGGACCAGGGAGCAAACTAGGAAGTAAAAACTGGACAACAAGCTTGAACTGACAACCTCAGAAACACAATGACATGCAGTTGCATAGAGAAAATTCCATTAAAACAAGAAACATGTTTAAATTCCATGGGCTCTCTTGGGTGGAATTATTCCAGAAGGTCCTTGACTGGGAAGCTGTAGTGACACATCTTGCCACATGAAGCTGCGTTTAATAATTGTGGACATCTCATCCCATAAATACTGTTCTAAGAAAGGGGTTGACTCTAAACTGCCTTAGTAAACCTCCCACCAGTTATTGAAAGACTGCAGAATTTGAACTGTACTGAAGACCTTGGCTACTCAATCATGTTATATGGCCTAATGGAAAGCTCAAGCACAGAGGCCATAACATAGGAGGAATGTGAAATGTGGTCCTCCAGATGTTCTTGAACCATAACTTCCAGCATTTATTTCCATTGCCTTTTTTTGGCTACAGCTGATGGAAATGGTAATCCAGTATTATCTGCAAGGCCACACATTTCCCACCCCGCCATACTTGAACACAACAGTGTATATCTGACCTGCCAATGCATAATGGAGGGTTTCTAGGTTTAAAGGGGCAGGCAGGCATGGAGAGATAACTCACTATCAGCTTGCCTGTGGTCTTTCTGTCCTCAGCTCCATACCCTTAAGGAATAGTTCTCCTACTCAAGCTAAATTAGAGTGACTCAGCTGGGTAAAATGTCTGGAGGGACCATCTACATAGTAAAAATAACAAATGGACAGCTCATTCCTCCCCATGCACCCCTCTAGATCTCAAATCATTCCTGCTTTTCACATGATGGGGCCAAACCCTCCTGAAAGGGCCTGGTCTGCTGCTGTCATAAAGTGGTGCCTCGACTTATGAACGCCCCTACCTACAAACATTTCGACTTACAAGCAGTTCCGCTCACAAAATTTTGCTTTGACTTCTGAGCGGAGCTTCGACCTAAGAACAGAAAAAGGCAGGGGGGAAAGTGGGAAATTCAAACTGTTGGTAACGAAGAGGCTGCTTCTTTGTAGCTCTTTTGCCCCAACGGTTAGAGCAGGGGGTCAGGGAACTTTTTTAAACCTGTGGTGCAGGAGGAGGAAGGAGAGGCGGGGACAGCTCCGGATTGCCCAGGCACAGGAAACTGGTGCGCTCCCTACCCATCCCTG